GGTACTCTTCCTCATAGGTTAGTCCTACGCCGGCATAATACACTAGGCCTACTGAAGCGTTGCGTTGCTTATCTCGCATGCAGGTATGAAAACCGCTCTGGAAAATTAATATTCATGCATTTATTGCCGAATCCTATAGCGCCACCAATCACCACTGCATGCCTCAAACGTCCAGGAAAAAAAAATCGCGGTCCGGGGTCCTCTCCCGGGAAAATTTTGATTCCTAGATGGCCGGAAATGAGCTTTCCCGACTTCTGAGGTGTCTTCGAAATTCAAGGTTTTACCCCTTTAAAAAAAAAGGCCAGGTGATTTTATCTTATTCTTAGGCTTATACCATAGAAGAAAATCAAAGATATATTCAATACATTATTAGGCCTATATTCCAACAATTTTGCAGTGGCGGATCTAGAGGGGGTGAATAGGGTGGCTATAGCCACCCCACTTCGGTTACTGTAAAAAAAAAAACTGTAACTCGTCTTGTGTGTGTGTGCTTCTCAAGTATACATGTATACTCTCGTAAAACATACACTTTCTATTTTAAGCTTAACTTCTTTTAATATGTCATCCAAGAGCGTCTAGACGTCTAATTTCAAAAAAAAAAATCTCAAATGGAAGCGGACGCCCCCTCCAAAAATCCATGATCAAGGGGTACAAGGGGATGGGGAAGGAGGAGGATTTTTACATTAACAGTTGTTACAGGGGCGTCCTATTAGAAAACGAAGAGTTCGGCCTCCACCAATGATTAGGTCAAAGACTACCTGTCTTTTTGCCATTTCATCATTTCAATACAGTACCGCTAAACAAGGTGTAAAAAGTCCTGTCTAGCCGACTACTGAAACTACAATAAATGTTATTCAACCCGACAAACACAAACACATTTTGACCATACACTCAAATATCTCTACCGTCTCCTCGAAAAACAATTTACCGTATAGATTCTAAACAGCAAAGGGAACACTCACCACGCATTTCCCGATAACCGATTTCCCATGCAGATAATTTAGTATAATACTGTACATTATAAGAGACAGATTTTATCCTGTCTAAATAAATGAATTAGTAAATGAATGAATAAACTAACAAATGAACAAACGGATATTCCTGCTTAAATACATAAATTAACGGCCTTTTAACGAAATACAGGACTAATTAAACCAATTATAGAGTGTGGAATTTCACCAGGTCATAAAAAATAAAGTAAAGAAACATGAAACATATAAAAGTTATCCTTCCTTTCATTCAAACGTGCTGAAAAGATTCATAACATAGGTATCAAAGTTTGCATCAGCGGGACCAAGAGAAGGACTTTCACAGATGGACTGTCTATCTACCTCAGCAGCCCCACCATGGTTGGAACTGAAGTAAGAAAATTTATGATAATGGCACGTCTGGAAGGCCAGAAATGGCACTCTTGAATTTTCATTTTTATTAATTTTTGTTAAATTTTGAAAAAAAAATGGGGGTGGGGGCCGGGCTTCCACTTAAATCCACCACTGGTTTAATATATTAATTCAGTATTTATTTGACAATCGAATCTCTATCTGGTCTATTCGTATTTTTTAACTTGTATGTATATTGACGATGTCCATGGTCCAAGCCTTTTATAATTATGAATTAATAACGTAAACATTTTACTATTTGATAAACATAAACTACAGAGTAGTATAGGTATAAATATTCATGAAAAAGAATTAGAAGCGATTAATCACCAGCTTTTATCGATAAACGCCTTTATTTCCAATTGACCGAATCGGCGACTCCAGCTATTACTGGTCACGTGACGTATTGATACAAAATGTAAACATACACATGGCAAACTACAGTGCGCTCATTGACATTGAACACAGTGAGAGAGTTATGATGTTTTTTTAGACAGCGACCCAAAGTAAAATAAGGCAGTAGGCCTTTTTTTTTTTAATAGTGATTTATAATTAATTTGGCAATCTCGATGCATTTTATTTAGGCTCTGGAATGCTGCTAGTGTACGGTAAGCTACATACAATCAATCAATCAATCAATCAAATCCATTTTATTGCAATCTGACAAGATAAAATATCATCCTCACCAAATTGAAGTTTAACAATATTAAAACATCAATTATTATTAAAACATCAATTACTGTATTATTTAAACATCAAAAGACATAAAAAGGAAAAAATACAAAACATGTAAAATATATATTAAAAAAAGTCATTCTTAATTGTC